GGAACTTCGTGGTCATCTGATGCATCCCACCCACGACTGCCCAAGTCCTCTCTCCCGGGCACTGTGAGTGCCTTCTGGGTGCTGGGAATGGGATACACAGTTTTCTGCCTCAGCCTGACCCCTGAGTGACAGCAACTGCCCCTCCTTTAGTGACCACTCGTTTTTTCAATCTGGACAGAAAGCACTTCCAGGCTGAGGCAAAGCTGGCTTCCAGGCCATTGTCCTGGTTCTGGCTTTTGGAGCCGTTTTCAACCATTGAGCCTCAGCAGATGGCAGATGGGGCTCATGTCCCTGGGGAACTTGTATCATATATGTACATTGTGTACTGGGGGGGGCGTGAGTATCAGGACCCTTGATGGGGAAACCGAGAGGAGTGAGGTGTTGCTACTCTGCTCCTCCACCCATTCTGATGTTCCTCCCCACCTCCCCACCCCGAGGACCACGGCATCTGTGCCACTGTTGCTGAGAGCAGCGTCACATCACTCAGAGGTCCTGGGACTACACTAGTAACTAACCCTTTCTTCCCCGAGGTTAGTCTTCAGATACTCAAAGACAACCGGTATGCCGCATGTCTAGATCTGTTTCCTAGACCATAAAGCCCAAGTCCTTAGCCATTTCCTTGGTGTCCTGGCTTTGGAGCCCTTCACTGGTGGATCTCCCCAAGCGTGACTCAGACTACTCGATGTCCCTCTCAGAGACTGACACTAGAAACTAGACATGCAGCTTCAGCTGTGATCTAGAGGATGAGAAGATCCGTCACCTCTTTTTGTTTTTGCTTTGTTTTGAGAAAACAGGACCCATAAATCTAATCAGTAGGAACTCATCATTTCATGTGGACGTTTTTGCACATCACTGGCTCTGTGGGTAAAGACCTGCACCACACATCAGAGTTATCAGACAGAATAAACGAAGTCCACCTTAGAGACAGCTGCCCTGAGAGTGTGGGCAGCTTCCCATCTGCCCACTGCTATCGCTCCAACACCAAACGCTCGCCTGTTCCTGCAAGACTGTTTCTGAGCAACAGTTTTTTTTTTTTCCCTTTTTGTCTTTTTTCGTGTCCGGCAACGGATCGCAACCCTCAGTG